TGTTCTTTCAATATTTAAGTATTTCAAAGCAATCCAGACATTAATCCAGTTGTTTTTTAATCAATGAGTCACATGTGTCCATTGTTCTGTACTTCAGGAAACCGGCTACCTATTTCACTACTGTGAAGTTTTTCAAGAACGATAACTCTTCCATGCAATTACTATGAGTATATGGTTTGATTTTAAGATGTCAATTTTTAATCGTTTATAGATAAATAATTATACACAATTTCAGCATTGATGAAATTGATATACATTAATGCAATACTTATCTATGTAAGTATCATTTGTATTGACATTTTTTTGCAAAACATTGTGTTTTTCTTTATTTTTTTCAAAATTTACTCATTTTTACATAAATTTCCATATAAAATCCTCAAAATTCTGACAACCTATATTTGTTTTGTGGCAGAAAATTTTCTTTACTTCAAAGCAATATAACTACAAAATTTGAAGAAATTCTACTGAGAAATGGCGACACAATCCTATTACCTTAATGACCTTGCTAGACTTTCAACCTCAAATGGGTCAAATGTGTTAACATCATTTTACACATTCTTTTAAATAACTTAGAGTCATAGATACTGATATTCTTCCTGTCATTTATTTTAGTTAACTTTTAAGTTTACAAGTCTGATTTTCAAATACTTTTTAAGATGGATTGTAAAAAGCAACCATTATAAAAAAAAGATTCTTCTAACTATTATAAAAATGCAAGAGAGATCAGACAGTTATCCAAGTCAGGAGAAATCAGGAGTGGACTATGGACGAAGATGAAGCAACAAAGAAAAAACTAAATACATTAATTAACTGGTGCAATTAATTTAACAGAGACAAGAATACAAATTAATTAATTCACAAGATGCTCTATCGGAGTACACCAGAAATATTCACAATCCTGTTCTACGATTTTTGAAATATACAGTCACAACAACAAAAAACCTCGAAAATTCACCATTCGTACACACATCCTTGAACTTCCAGGGAGTATGTCGCTTACGTTCTCTGCTCCCCTGGGGGTATTCCGTCTTTGCGTATTGCAGAGTTATCTTCTCTTGAGAGCAGGTATTGATTGTTACGTCATTGGTTTGTGGGAGAAAATTACGTCGTTTTCTGAAAAATTGATGACGTAACAATAAATCCCTCCTCTCAAGAGAAGATAACTCTGCAATACGCAAAGACGGAATACCAGTCACGGCGAAATCGAAGGAATGTATTCACCACCTTGTGGATTGTTTGTACATCAAAAGAAACGCGCGCCAGCGAAACGGTAAAATTCACCGGCATTGAAGTTTGGTGTTACTCCCAAGTCCGTGCTCCAATGCAATTTTCTACGAAGAAGTATCAGCATAAAACCCTGGCGATTGGTATTTTGAATTATTATTACCGGAAACCTATCAAATAGCAAACTGCCTGTCATCGATTTTGTCATGACATAGTCATTGGATGCAGAGAACGCAAGTGAGCGCTACCCCAGGAATGTCGAAGTATGACGCATTCACTTTCAGATTTATGTGGGGCAGAGATCGATCTTGGCATCTATTATACACATCGATAATAATAAAAATACACTTTATATAAATTCGATAACACATCTATCTCATAAATCGTAGACATAATGCACAATATTTACAACATAATTAAGAAATAAGATACATTAAATTTAGCACATACGTTATTAAAAAAAGACAAATGCAAACAAATCCATCCTCACTTTGTGCACGTAGTGATACAAGTTCAAGTTCAAGTTCTTTATTACTTTAAGTCGGTTGACTTATCAGTTATAACATATATACAAAACAATACAGAGACAACATACAATATGATACACACACACACACACACACCGTGGAGAGTGAACACTAACCAGCAATCAGCTCGGATCTCCTTTTGTTTGCTTGTATTAAAAATTTGCCCAGATTTCTAATGTCAGATACATTCTCACAAGTAAGCAGTTGAATTAATTTATACATGTTTGTATGTCTTACATAATATTTCTTAATTAGTTTCAACCTTATATCAATATAGCAAGGACATTTTAAAACAAAATGGAACTCATCCTCGACATCATTCAGGTCACATACTGTACACAATCTGTTTTGTCTTTCAGTTCTATTATATCTGCCACACTCAATATTTAACTTATGTGCAGACATTCGAATTTTACATATTTGTTTTAAATAATTTATATTTACAGGTTTTGATAAATAGTACTGGTGACCAAAATCACACACATATTGATACAATGCTCCTTTAGGAGAAGATTGAATTTTTTCAAAACATTCTTGTCTGAATATGTCACAAAGACGTTCTTTTATAATATGAAAAGTGCTATTATTTAAACTGGAGGATTCCCACACATTTCCAAGACCAATTCTGTATAATTCTTGTTTTACACTCATTAACCAAATGTCATTATTACAAAGCATATCATCATAGCATGACCTTAGAATACAATTTCCTACATTTCTCAGTTTTATCCAATATTTGAATATTCGTAATTTTCTAACTATTTTCATGGGATATCTTCCAAGTTCATAATACACCATAACATTACTAGTTTTTTTTATGTAATCCTAATATTTGTTTGCAGAATCTCACATGCAATTTTTCGATGTCTGGTGCGGCATGGAAGCCCCATACTTCTGCTCCGTAACTTAAAACACTATTTACATAAGTTTCAAAAACAGACAATAGAGTTTCTATATTAAAAATATTTTTTCTTACAGACATTTAATAATGCAAACAAAGCTTTTCTCCCCTGGTCAGCAACTTGCTTTTAAGTATGTCTAAATTTTCCATTAAAATTCAATAGTACACCAAGGTAATTGAATTGATCGACAACATCCAATTTATTTCCTTCGTAAAACCATATTTCATTTCCCCTTAATATCCCTCCATTTCTAAACACGACAATTTTTGTTTCCCCAGTATTTACGGTCAAATCCCATACAGAAAATACTACAGCTAACCTGGCGGACCACGTGGGTTTTCTCTGGGTAGCCCGATTTCCTCCCACATAAGGAACCCTAGCGCTAATATTCGGACCAACAAGAGCGATTAATATACACTTGTAGTAAATTGAAAAATCTTGTTTCATAATTGTTGTAAAATAAATTAAGTATATATTTATTTTGATACTACACATTGTACTAGAATTGATGTCCAGACATCACATTACATGTCAAATTACTAGCGTCATTAGATCTATTACTAATGTTCATGCAAACAAAATTACTAATCAGAGGGTTTGACGAACAGTTTAACAGTTATATAATATGTAAAGTGAAAAAATCCCACAACGAGTGATGATTGGCTTTTCATGTTTATCTAACTAGAATTGCTTAATTTTTCATATTATATAAAGTCCCGAGTTTTTTTTACGATTTGAAAATTAACTTTATCGTTCCGACATGATATCTAGAAAAAACATGTTTCCCTTGAAAATACATTCCTGTTTGTAATCGGGGAAACGATTGCCATAAACAATGAAGTCACAATGAAAGCATTGCTAAAGATTGACCAATGAAATAACGTCCAGAGTGTTACCCACTAGTGGGTAACCAAAAATGTTTTCTAACTCCTAGCAAGCTTATCCAATGAGTTAACTACGAAAGATCAGACGAATAAGGTAAAAAGATAAAATCCAATATTAAGACGTAAATAATATCCGGAATCTCCAGTAACTGGACGGACGCTTATATAGCCTTGACAAACTTCCTGTTGAGAAGAACAATGTAGCATCCCTCCCACTCATCCCTCCAGTGCTGAAGCAGACATTTCATGGTAAACACATTATTATTCATTATTAGCACGAATCCGTTCATTACCATGTCGATATCAATAGTTTATATGTAGTACTTTTGCATTGCCAGATTTTTGAGAACATTAATTAGGTATACACTACACATCCCTGCACATAATAATAATAATAAACCTGTGTGAAGGGAGACTACTCTCGCTGTGTTTACAAAATAACATCATCTTGGCACATACTAAAAACGGGATAAAACAACGAAACATTTTCCTTTTGCCAATTTTGTGTACAATTTCCCTCTCATTATTTTTTTTTCTTATTTAGGGTAGATGTAAATTAAATACAGTTCTATGCTTCAGACAGGACGCGTTTTAATACAGAATTATTTGTACGTTTTAATTTCAATCAATGCTTCAATTTCCAATATCTTCAGTTTTCTTGGAATATCTAAAGGGCACACTCTTAATTCAAATTACTGAGTCATTCGTTGTACTTTTCTTAACACAATGTAGCTTCTTACAAAAAGTTTGAATGAGCTTTTTAAGTACATTTTCATTTCCTTCAATACTTCAATACCTTCAGTTTTCTTGTAAGCCTAAAATATATATGAAAGATTCCTAATTCAAATTACTCAAAGTCTTTTGCTGTACCTTTCTTAGCTCCAAATACAGTGTAGTTACTTACAAATGTTTGTATAAGTTTTTCTATCAATCCTAACAACACGGAAGCTATCGGAGTCTGTGCTATTTAAGTCCGTGCCTTCGGTTTTCTTGTTCGGGGAAAGAACAGGCCGGCTATATCCACCGCATGATGGTAAGAGGCGACTTATGGGTCCCCTTCCCCTCTACAGAATCCGGGATGGTTTCTTTCTTGTCTTTTGTTCATGTGTCTTCTACTAAGAGAACATTGAAAAGATCATAATTGATCTGCTGCCTCCATTGCAACACGTGGGATATTTTTTGTTTTCTATCTTTCTTGTCTTCTTTCTTTTTTCTATCTACTTTCTCTTCCCGGCAGTGTCTCACTAGGCACCCGTCCTTGTATGATCCTGGCTGTTGCAAGGACATTATATTATAAACAAACAAACGATAATTATAAAAATATGGCCATGGTTGATAACATGTATTCTATATGTTAAGATTTAGATGCGTACTTGATTATAATATGATTTGGGGTTTTTTTTTTGCTTTGTTTCAGACATAATGCGATTTCGCGTGAAGCAATGCTGCAGCTCTCCCATGAGACAGATGTAATACAACAAAATACCAGGTCTCTACTATCGGTAGTTATCTACAATGTTGCAACTAAACTTGTTCGATTGACATTAATATAGCAAAGGGTGCAAATAAAGAGCGAAAAATCAAAGCGAGTCTCCAGTACTTAAAGAATTCAACACGTGCTATGTCAATGGAAGAGGATTCAGAAATGGAGAAAATAGAACTGTTCGATTCCTTATGGAACCAAGAGCAAACCTCAAGAACACGTCCAGGAGAGAAGCCACACAGCTGTGGTGTTTGTGGTAAGGGGTTTCGGATGTCATATACGTTAAGAAGACACCAGAAGACCCATGTCGCAGAAAAGGCCTATCACTGTGATGTTTGTGGAAAAGGATTCAATGAGACACACCAATTACAGTCGCACGGAATGATACATACGGGAGAAAAACCTTTCATTTGTGAGTTTTGTGGTCAGGAATTTAACCGAAGAGCTCTTCTAAACAAACACTACCTGAAACGCAAGGAAGAGGAAAATGAGCTCAAGTGTGGCGGCGAGAGTGGCACTGGGTTAAGAAAGACGTGTAGTCAGCAGTCTCCTAAGCGGCCACACAACGGAGAGAAGCCACGCACGTGCAACTTCTGTGGCAAGACGTTTAGTACTTCACAAAACCTGCAGGTGCATATCAGAACGCATACAGGAGAGAAGCCATATACGTGTGATACATGCGGTAAGGCGTATACAACAGCACAAAACTTACAGACACACCTTAGGACCCATACAGGAGAGAAGCCATACAAATGTGACCTATGCGATAAAAGTTTTGTGCTGGAATGTCGGTTGAAGGTCCATGCCAAGCAACATACAGGGGAGACACCATTCAAGTGCGGTGTATGTAAAAAAGAGTTTACGGTGGCGTCTAGTTTGAAGATGCACCTTTTGACACATACAGGAGAGAAGCCATACGAGTGTGAAATGTGTGGCAAGCGGTTCGTTCAGAAAATTCATCTTCGCACACACAATATGTCACATACCGGAGAGAAGCCATTTAAATGTGATATTTGTGGTAAAGGGTTTATTGGGATACAACGCGTAACGGCACACATCAAGCGACACACGGGAGAGAAGGCACACAAGTGTGATGTTTGTGGCAAGGGGTATGGTACGGAACAATGTCTGAAGAGACATGTTCAGACGCATTCGAGAGAGAAGCCGTATAAATGTGACGTGTGTGGAAAAGAATTTACATTGTCATCTTATCTCAGACGACATTTTCTCAAACACATGAGAACGATAACATGAGAGAATATTTACACTAACTATATCTTTCAGAAATATGTGGTTTTTGCCACAAGAACATGCGAATTTGTTACAGCAATATTTGATCCTAAACTTAGCTGCTCAGAGTAATTTTACACGTTTGGGGGTTAGAGCAACATTCGGTAATAATGCCACCACCAATGATAGTAGTATTTTACACGGTTTAGGAGTTAGGAGCAACCTTGTTTAAAAAAAATCTAACATCGTTGGGGTGGCCCCTTCACCTTTACTAAGGTGCTCAGAGTAATTGTACACGTTTTATATGTTTAGACCAGCCTTCGATAAAAATGCCACCCAATGATCATATATATTACACGTTTTGGGGGTTAGATCAACTTTCGGTACATAATACCACCACCCCTAAATCATGAAATATCTACCATCATAGGAGGTGGCATTTGAACCTATACAGGTGCTCAGAGTAATTCTACACGTTTTAGAGGTTTAGATTAACTGTCGGTAAAAATGCCGTCCCAATGATGGTACATAAACGTGTAAAACTACTTTGAACACCTTAGTGTAGAGGTAACAAATTATCAGGTCCCTGTGGATTTTGCCTTGCCTAATTGAAGTATGACGTTTAAGTCGACACTAGCATTGCAAATACAATTATAAATGAACAATAGAAATAGTTGGGTGAGACAGTGGTCAGCCCCTTCACCTATCACCGAGACGGCCGAGGTGCTATATCTCGATCGGATGCGAAAACACGTACCTGTTCGACCATCATAAGGTTTTCTCCTAGGACTTCAGTTTCCTCCCATAGCAAGACCCCAATCCAGGCCAACACGAGTAATTAAACTGATAAATGTTATTAATCATTAACTGATAAATGTTATTAATCACCTGTTCGACCATCATAAGGTTTTCTCCTAGGACTTCGGTTTCCTCCCATAGCAAGACCCCAATCCAGGCCAACAAGAGTAATTAAACTGATAAATGTTATTAATGTTAAGTTGATCATTTTTTCATAATTGTTGTAAAGTGGGTTTGTTTTATTTTTATACCACACAAAGACACCACGTGCTGCAGCTAGTTAGCTACTTTGTTGATGAGACAGGAAGACTAGTTTGATCCTTTGAATCTCGCGGTCGCTTAACGTTAAATTAAACTGGCTTTTAAGTCGAGTGTCGCTCCTCCATAATCTTCAATGAACATTATACATTGTATAAGCATATCGATTGTTCAGTTACTAGATGATCGATACAGGCCCTTTTGTCCTTTTGTTTATGTATTAAATTGCAGCGGAAGTATAGCCTTAAAGCAATAAATGCATGTCAGTATGCTAAAAAAATAGCATAAATCCATCATTTAATTTGATATTGTATTTTGTGTCGTATTGTCAATAAAACTCTTTAATTGTATTTATATATGTGTTTTATAACGTCATATTTATAAACGCCCAGATGATATTTCCATATCTTCTGTAACATTAGAAAAAACAGTATCGGATTCCTTAAGTGTTGGTAAACCATCTATAGCCCGATCAAGGTAATGGCATTGACAGCTTACAAACAAAAAACAAAATTCTGTTCATTCGAAATTGGGCGGGGTATGGTGCATGCTAAAATAAATACAATCGGTAACCACTGTTGTTTATTTTGTCGTAATTAAGGAAGACAATTAAAAGCAGAATAATTGATAAAATACCCTAAAAACGATTAATGATATATTGTTCACTTTGCAAGGTTATAAGAATAGTTATTAAAAAGATGTACTTAGTACATACTCAATGTTGTTTTCATTTTCGTTTTGCTTAATGGTTTATTAAGCCAAATGAATGCTGAGCTATTATCTGTCAGCAACCTTGAAGGTAGGTTCGATAGCTGTTCCATATTTGAATCAAGAGGACATAATTTTAAAAATAAAAAATAAATCATAAATCTTATGTACATGTGTGTAGCGACTCTTTTGAAAGAATGGAAAACTATTAAGTTCACATTTGATTGTCCAAAAAGTAGATGAATCTTATATTTATTGTTCATATATGATGTACATTCGTGTACATGTAGGACCTGACATCTGGGCATTACATTTTTGGCACTATTTGTCACAGTTACCACACGCCATTGCATAAAGTTGCAAAACTTGAGCAAATAAAGAAACGAAAAGAAACGAAAAAAAACGAAACGCATCAGTGTCCAAGGTGCAAGAGACTTTGTATATCCCAGAGGGGTATTTGAAGCATTGTCTTGGGAAAGGTCATTGCTGAGATCCGTTTGGTTCGTAAGAAGAAGCCTGATGATACAGCTGTGCGTACGAATACTGTTTTTACACATGGATAATGCGTAGTGTATTATTATTACCGATGATAACAATCAGCGTTAATGATATACTGTGTACAGGAAACTTTTCGCTGCAGTCGAATTTTCAGAAACGAGGGGGATTTTATAATTTAAATGAGCATTAATCAACAATGTAATTTACATAATAAGTAAACGTACGAATACTGTTTTTACACATGGATAATGGGTAGTGTATTGGTATTACTGATGATAACGATCAGTGTTAATGATATACTATGTACAGGAAACTTTTCGCTGCAGTCGAATTTTCAGAAACGAGGGGGATTTTATAATTTAAATGAGCATTAATCAACAATGTAATTTACATAATAATTAAACGTACGAATACTGTTTTTACACATGGATAATGGATAGTGTATTAGTATTACTGATGATAACGATCAGTGTTAATGATATACTGTGTACAGGAAAATTTTCGCTGCAGTCGAATTTTCAGAAACGAGGGGGATTTTATAATTTAAACGAACATTAATCAATAACATAATTTACATAGTAATTAAATGTGGAAGGCTAAATTAACACTGGGCAGGTTTTTTTTAGGGGATGGGTGAAAGTATGACTGGGCGGAAATTTTCAAGTATACAGTATTTGAAATTCTCAAAATCAGGAATTTATACCGAAAGTATAGGAATATTTGAATAAATGATAATTGATATTGTATTTAATTAATTCATTTCTTAGTTCAATTAGCTATATTATATGAGGTAATCATAATTGATGGTAGGAACACACGCGTTAAATTCTATTTTACATGTCATCAAAGAGAACATAGCATTGTTTGTTTTCCATCATTTCCGAAATTCATATCTAACATAACATAAAGTTTCGAATTCATGTTAGTTTTAATAGCTCTCCAATTAGTCCGTTATATTTTCAGACTTTTTTCTTTCGAATTTTCAATTCTCCCCTAGATGACACCAAATTATACTTCGATTAACTGTTATGCTGTAGAGTCCATTTTGTGACGAGTTGGTATATCAGGTGTAGGTGAGAAAGTGATTCTCCAACTTACCTGTAAAACGTCCACAGTCGCCAGATAAAGGGAGATTCCAAGCGTGTTAATGGGCAGTGGATAGCTGACCGTAAACGGGGAACCAATAAAAAAGCATTGAAGCCCGCAATCATGACCAATTTTTTGCCGATTGGAACCATTTAAATGTAATGGTGGTGGTGAGAGATTTAATAGCAAATGTTATTTACAGACACATAACAGGGGATATATAGGCTAGGAAACATACACATGTGGTGTATGTAAACAAGGAGTTACATATATGTTGTCTGACCTAAAGAGACACCTCTTGACTAGCACACGAGAAAGGTCACACAAGTGTGACGTATTTGGAAGTTTACCATCTGTTGGAGAGCAATAATTTCATTTTCACACGAGGACGCATACATACACAAGAGAGTAGTTCACCATTTCTCTCAAGCACTAGTTATATATCTTGATCATTAGCGTGCTTTGTAAGCGTCGTAGTCATTACTGCGGTTCTCGTTATGATGACGTGACATTACTTTGATTTAAAATACATAGCGGGTGTTGTCGATGAAGCTAAGTGAAATTGTGTACCTATCAAATGTGTCATCAATCGATAACAAAAAGAAAGTCGTCGTTTATGATTAATAGTTTGTTCCTAAAAAGCTGAAATCCACATAGAGTTGATACTGCAGACAAAGACAGTCTGAAACGTTAATAAGCAGAAATAACGTTGATAAGCAGAAATAACGTTGATAAGCAGAAATCTTATCAACGTTATATGTCTTTAACCCTTTCACCCCTTTGTAACTTTAATAGACTCTACCATGCATTGATCTGGATGAGTCTATTAAAGTAACAAAGGGGTGAAAGGGTTAATTGACAGGTAAATGATATCTACATTTTTCACAATCATGTATATCGTTTAGTTCTTTTAAACATTGCAAATAGTTTACCATCCCTTAAAAGCACTCCTCTACTAGAAAGAGTGATTTGCTTTTCAATTTGTAGTTATCCATATTAGGGGGTATTATGAGGTTCGTTGTTCACTGTTCTTGTTTGAGTATTCTTGTGTTTGCATTAACTATTGAAGAGCTCGAGATGATGACCAATTCAACAATCACGCGAATATCAACTCCGATACATTGATACAAGGGATATAATCCGGTCGATGTTCTATTTGTGGAGTAACAATCCAAGAATATGTCGTTCAAGAACAATCACAAAAAGGAGTATTCGTGGAAGTATTTGACAGTGCACGCCCAACCATATTCACACAATAACAGCGTATGGATTCGACCAGGTATACTAAGCTCTGAGACATAAATCCCACTCACTAACGGTAACGAAAAATCTGGGTAGAGATTGATATAAATCCCTTAACGGCAGGTATTAGGCAGCTATAATACAACGTCTATACAGAGTAAAACAGACAGAACATTTCTATATAATAGTATTTCGTTTACCTTTGAAATGAGCGGACATTGATATGGACTGAGCCAGTCTGTCCCTCCTCTATAATTACAGTATGTCTGACGCGAAATGTCTAGCCCAAAATGCAGTTCCGGGTTAACGTTGGTCTACTGTGGGCGAAAGTTGGCTTCCGAGATCGTCATTTTGGTCATTGAGGTCACTTACAAACATATTCGAACTGGGGAATGTCTATCAATTTTGGTTAGATTTTGATAATTCAAAAATTAATAATGAATGGCT